GGGGGCTGCGGGGAGGCGGCAGCTCCCAGCCCCGCGGCTTTCTCCGCCCTCCTCTCCCGCCGCAGGATGACAGATGGAGGTCAAAGATGACACCATCAGCGTTGAATTTTCCCAGCTCTCTTCACTTACTCGGCCTTTCATTGGGAGAGTTTCAGCCAAAAAGGAGAAACTGTACCGGGGAATTCCTGGTTCCAGAGCAGCCAAATTTAATTAAAACCACTTCAAACATTAAAGTGATTCACCAGCTAAATCAACGCAATGAGAAACCCCTCATCAATTCTGCCCTTCCCTCCTCGGGTTTGTTTCCCCAGGGAAAGGTCACGGGAGCAGTGATCATGCCAGGCCTGTGCCCCAGCAAGGGTGGAAGTGCCCAGGGACAATTGTGTGTCCCCAGTGTCCTGAGGAGCTCCAGACCCTGCATGTGGCTGTCGTGGTACGGTGCCTGTGCCACAGGACGTCCTGGATTGGGTCCCTGTGCCCGCTGCTGTTTGTGCCCACGTGCGGCCCTGCCTGTCCCGGCTGCTTCCCGCTGCCCAGCAGCTCTCAGCGCCCGTTCCCGCGCTGCCCTTGGTCACCCGAGCCTGAGAGCTCCCTGGGGCTGGCTCCCAGCGCCCGGCCCCTCGCGGCGCCCAGGGAACATCCCGTCACGGCTCCGTGAACTCAGCACCCCCCAAATAGCCCGGCCAGCCTGGCCCCCAGCAGGAGCGCTCCGGCCCCGGCGCTGGCCCGCGGATGATCTTACAGCCGGGGAAGCTCCAAACATGCTGCTCCTGCCCATAAAAAGCAAAGGGCTTTGGGCATGGAATCATCGGGAACACGGGGATTGCGCCAGCCGGGGAGACGCTCCCGGGAGGCAGCGTTGTTGGAAGGGCGAAAGGGCAGAGGGAGCTGAGGCTGGGGTGGGGGAGCCCCCAAACACAGCTCAGTCTCTCCAAGGGTTTGTAAAACACACCCAGAGCTCTGCTGCCGCCGCTTGGCTCCTTGGCCGCCTCATCCCGATGGGAATATGCGACCCAAATCACGCACCAGAACCAGGTGCTAGGAACACAGAGGTGGTTATTCCGTTATATTGTGATCCTTGTTTTCCAATTGCCCCCACATCCCAGTCTGCCCCATACCATGGCTCTGGAGACCATTCCAGAGAGCTGGAAGCTGGCAGAAGCCGTCCCCTCCCAGCAGTGCCTGAGGCACAGGCCCTGGGCACCACCCCAGCCGTGAAGCCCATCTGGTGGCAAGAGACTGCACAGGGAGGTCCAACTCAGTGAGAAGCTGAGTTTCCCAGGAAGGAAGAGGAAAAACACCTCACTGGCGCAATGGTCCAATGGATAACATTGGAATTTAATTAAGTTAAGGGGATATCTGCAGAACTAGAAGATCCAAACTCCTCTCCCAGCACGCCATGTGCTGCCCCCTGCCCGGACACACATGGAGACAACGGCCCCTCCGGAGCTTCCTGGGCCACAGCTGCTCCCGCTCTTCCGCAATTCCCAGGAATTCTTCTTCCTTATCTTATCTTATCTGGGCACCCGAGGCTGCCCTCAGGCGCCGCTGTCGGCCGGGCCGGCGCGCAGGTCGGGGCGCAGGCGGATCTCCACGAGGCGCACGGCGCGGAGCAGCACGGCCAGCTGCGAGCACAGCCGCGCCACCACATCCAGCACGGGCTCCGCCAGGTCCCGCACGCCGCCCAGCACCTTCAGCAGGAACAGCAGCAGCGGCTGCAGCAGGCTGTGGAACAACGCCGCCAGGAATGGCTTCAGCACGTGGTCACCGATGGCTGTCAGGACACCGACCACCAGCGCCTGGATTTGGGATGAAACCCTGTGTTTGAGGGATACTTGCCAGCAGGAGTCACCAAACACGGGCTGAGGCACAAAAATCCCACAACGGGAAGGAAACGTGCAGCAGTGGAGGTTCGTGCTCCCGGTACCGAGGGACTCTGCCATCCCCAGCAGCTGCTCCGGCCGCGGCTCCGCGGGAACAGGGCGCTCACCTGCACCACGGCCTCGCCGAGGAAGCGGATCAGCTCCACCAGGAACAGGCTGAACACGCTGACCAGGCACCGCGGGATGGCAAAGAGTTCCCGCAGCTTCCGCTGCACCGGCCACTCGGAGCTGCAGGGAGAGCAGGGAGCGTCAGAGCCGGAGAGCCGGCCCGCCGAGGGGATGGATGCACTTCCATCCCAGAGCAGAGCCAGAGATCCAGCCCGCCGAGGGGGTGGATGCACTTCCATCCCGGAGCAGAGCTGGAAATCTGGCCCGCCGAGGGGGTGGATGCACCTCCATCCCGGAGCAGAGCTGGATAGCTGGCCCGCCGAGGGTGTGGATGCACCTCCATCCCGGAGCAGAGCCAGAGATCCAGCCCGCCGAGGGTGTGGATGCACCTCCATCCCGGAGCAGAGCCAGAGATCCAGCCCGCCGAGGGGGTGGATGCACCTCCATCCCGGAGCAGAGCCGGCACCTCAGGCAGCTCCTCGGCAGCACATCCCAGCTCCCAGCCACCAAATCAGGGAGGAGAAAGCGCTGGAGCCGTGCTGCCACAGGCTCCCCCTGCATGGCCCAAACCCGCCTGAAGTAGCCCCAAAAGCCAATCCCTGGGGATGGCACCCAGAGCAGCGGCTGGCCCGGGGAGCAGCAGCCCAGCTCCAGGGAATCCCGTCCAACACCGCCGGAGCAGCTCCGGCGTGGGCAGTTCTGAGGCTCCCTCTCATGGCCACGGCCACGAGGTGATCCGGAGATTCATTCCGGTTTCTCTTTCCGCAAAAATACCAAGTGGAGAGGAGGGTGAATTGTGCCGGGCTGGGAGGAAACCCCAACCCAGCGGAATGCAACAGCAGCAGCACCGGTTTGGGGTGGAAGGAGCGACTGCAGGATGACCCAAACCCCGAGGTTTTCCCCCATTTTGTCCCCGTTTCCCAGAAGCCCAGGCGAGATGCTCCATGCTGCTGCTCACCCACCCCGGATCCCACTGTGGAGAAACCCCCAGTGAGGCCTGAGCAGATCCCTCTGGGGTCCTGGGGGACACATCCCTTCAGCACCCCATGCCTTGGGTACCTTTCCCCCTCCGGGATCAGGCCCTGGCCTGCGGCCAGACTCGCACAGGCTGCAGCTGTCCCTCGGGATCAGCTGGGATCCCGGGAAAAGCACGGACAGGGCAGGAACAGGCAGCGTGGTGGGATAAGCTGCAGAGCAGTCAGTGATCCAGCCAGGAACCCAGCCGGGAATCCACCTGCTCCGCTCCTACCCCCTACTCACAGGGGTCTGAGCCTCTTCCCTGGGAATCCACCGGGATCTGAGCTTCTCTTCTCCCGGGAATGCACGGGACTCTACTCCCCCACCACCACCCTGAATCCAGTGGGATCCGCTCCTTTCTCCGAGCACTCCCCGGGATCTGCGCTCCCCTCCAGAAAGCCCCGCTCCCGTTCCCAGCGGACGCACCGGGATCGGGGCGAAAAATAACATTAAACCCTGAGATCTGCGAGTTAAACGGGGCGAGACTGGCCCAAGCCCGCCGGGGCCCCCGAGTCCCCTCCGTCCCCCCGGGGACATCCCGATACATCCGCACCCCGCCCCCGCGGGGCAGCATGTCGGGCTCCCGTTCACCGGCGGGGCCCAGGGCAGGGGGAGTCCCGGTACCTCCTTCGGTTCTTCCTCCCGGGGCGGGGCGGCGGCACCGGGGGGGCGCGGGGGGCACCGGGGGGGCCCGGCGTGCGGCGGGGCGCGCCCGGCGCCATGCGAGCAGCCCCGCCCCCGGCCCCGGCCCCGCCCCGACCGGGGACAGGCCCCGCCCCCTGCTCATTGCCATGCGAGCAGCCCCGCCCCCGCCGCGGGCCAGGCCCCGCCCATTCCAGATACGTTGTTGCCGCCCTTGGTCACGCCCATCTAAACCACGCCCCCTCATTGACAGACAGCTGGCTCGGGGCGGGGCTCAGGGGCGGGAGCGTGGGCGCGCCCACAGATGAATGACAGAGACTGTGACCAATCAAAGCCCGCAAAGGCGCCCCGGTGTTCCCGCCCACCGCGGAGATCCCCGTGCGTCACGTGGAGAGGGAAATGGTACTGTGTATGCAAATATATGCAAATCGTATGTTAATGAGGGCCTGCCAGCAGTGCGGGCTGACAGCCGGGCAGACGGGGCGGGATCCGGGAGGGGACACGACGGTGGGGACACGGGGGCTCATAGGGGAAGAAGGAGGGGGGACACGGGGGACGAGACGTGGGGGCCACACGGGGGGGGCTCGGAGGGACACCAGAGGAGTGACACGAGGGGGGGTCCCGTGGGGACACCGGGAGCCCCGCTCCACGCCCCGTGTCCCGGGGCGGTCCCGGCCGGTCTCGCCCCACGCCCACGCCCGGCCCCGCGTGCGGAAGCGCCGGGCGGCGGCGCCGGGAGCGGCCCCGAGCGCAGGTGAGACCCAGGACCGCTCCCGACGGGCGCGGGGTGTTCCCGTGGGGTGGGACCCCGTGGGGAGGGGGCCGTGGGAAGGGGGCCGGGGCAGTGGCGGGGCGATGCTGAGATGCCGGGGAAAGCCGCGGGGACACGCGGGGACAGTGCCCGGTCCGCGAGGGGAGCGGCAGCCCCGGACGCGCCGTGCCCAGCGCGGTGCCGTGGCCGGGCCCGTCCGTGCGACACGCGTGGGCGCTGCCCCGCCAGGGGGGACCGGCGGGGACCCGCGGGGAGCGGGGGGCTCCCCTCGCGGGGCTCCTGTGACTGCGCAAGGACCGCGGTCGGGACTTCCCGTGTCCCCCATGTGCTCTCCGTGTCCCCCCATCCCTCGTGTGCCACCCCCTGACCCTGTGTCCCCCGTCCCCGCTCATCCTCTGACCATGCCCTCTCCATCCCGTGTCCCCTCTCTCCTCATGTCACCCGTGTCCCTCCTCCCTTCTCCATGTCCCCTGTCTCCCGTACGTTTCCCGTGTCCCTCCACGGGACAGTCCCAGTGTCACTACATGTGTCCCCCATCCCTCGTGTGTCCCCTGTCCCCTTTGTACTCCCCTTGTCCACTCTGTGTCCCCGTGACTCCCTCCCCTTGTCCCTCGTGTCCCCTGTCCCGTGTCCCCTCCGTCCCCCTCACATCCCACGTTCCCTGTGTCCCACTCTCTCCTCTGTGTGTCCCCTGTCCCTCCTGTCCCTCGTGTCCCCTCCCCTTCTCAGCTCCTCTTTTCTTTCCCCGAAGCCACCGCAGCTTCTGCTTTCGGCTGCGGGTGTCGCCCCCACACCCCCGGGCGAGGCAGAGCTCGGGGGGGCTCCCGCACCCTCCCGGCCCTGAAAGCGGAACCGGAGCTGCCCCGCGGGACCGTGCGGGGCCGGTTCCTCTTTCGGGAGCGAGGGCGGCGCCCGGCGGTGCCCCCGGACCATGGAGCCCCCGCGGCGGGTGCGCCTCAAGCCCTGGCTGGTGGCCCAGGTGAGCAGCCGGCGCTTCCCGGGGCTGCGCTGGCTCGACGCCGAGCGCCGCCGCTTCGTCATCCCCTGGGGACACGCCACCAGGAACCCCCCGGGCCCCCAGGACCACGACACCATCTTCAAGGTGACACCGGGGACACGGGGCGGGAGTGACAATGGGCACGTGGGACGGGGACAATGGGGACCTGGGGACATGGGGTGGGGGCGATGTGTGATGGGGTGACAATGGGGAGATGGGGTGGGTGACAGTGGGATATGGGGGACAAGGGGCAGGAGTGACAGGGTGATGGGTGACGAGGGACACAGGATGGGGGTGGCAAGGATGGTGGGGCACATGGGATGGGGGTGGCAAGGATGATGGGGTGCACGGGATGGGGGTGACAAGGATGATGGGGCGCACGGGATGGGGGTGGCAAGGATGATGGGTGCACACGGGATGGGGTGACAAGGATGGTGGGGGCACACGGGATGGGGGTGACAAGGATGATGGGGCACATGGGATGGGGGTGGCAAGGATGATGGGGCACATGGGATGGGGGTGACAAGGATGATGGGGCACACGGGATGGGGGTGGCAAGGATGATGGGGCACACGGGATGGGGGTGGCAAGGATGATGGGGCACACGGGGTGGGGGTGGCAAGGATGATGGGGCGCACGGGGTGGGGGCTGGCGGGCCCGCAGGCCGGGGGTGCCGCGCTGACCCCCGCGCAGGCGTGGGCGCAGGAGACGGGCCGGTTCCGGGCCGGGGACCCGCCGGACCCCCCCCGCTGGAAGGCCACGCTGCGCTGCGCCCTCAACAAGAGCCGCGAGTTCCGGCTGCTGCTGGACGGGCCCCGCGGCTCCCCGGCCCAGCCCTTCCGCATCTACGAGCTCTGCGATGAGCCCCCCGGGGGCGCAGGTACGGGGGGCTCTGGGGAGGCCTTTGAGCAGCCCCCGAAGTCCCAGCGCCCCACAGAGACCTGTCCCCCCCACACAAGGGACCCACCCCCTGTGAAGCCTCAGTGCCACATGAGTCCCCAGGACTCTTCAATATCCCCCTACGAGTCCCCAGGACCCCTCAATATCCCCCCATGAGTCCCCAGAACCCCTCAATATCCCCCCCAGCACCCCAGGTTCTCTCTGCATTTCCCAGCCCCTCTCTCCCTTGCAGATGGGGGGGATGAGGATGACTATGGCTGCAGCGGGGAGGAAGACGTCAGCCAGGTATCTGGGGGGCTCGGGGTGGGGGGATCCCCACACCAGGGATGCCCCAGAGGGCCGGGGTGGTCCCTGTAACGCCCACTCTGCCCTGCAGCTCCACAAGATGACATCCCTGAGCATCGATGGTGAGTGGGGGGCTCAGGGTGGCTCGGGGTGTCAGGGGGGCTGGGGTGCAGCCTCTGACCCCCCTCTCTGCTCCAGACACGCAGCACAGGGGGGATCTGCTGCCCCCCTACCCCTGGCCCAAGGAGGAGGCTCCCCCCTTTGCCACCCAGTGCCCCCCGGGGGGGCCCTTTGCGGCTCCCCCCCCGGCGCTGATCCAGGGGGAGGCAGGGGGCACCCACGGGGCCCCTGAGCTGCTCCCTGGCGCCCTCGCTGAGATGGGGCCCCCCCTGGGCCCCCCAGGACCCTCGTCCAGCTGCCCGGTGGCACCGACAGAGCACCTGATCCCCGACCTGCTCGTCAGCCCCCACATGCTGCCACGTGAGCAGGGCTGGGGCCGGGGGAGCTGGCTGGGCTGGCCATGGGTGTGGGGGCTGGAAGGACTGGGGTGGCCATGGGGTGGTGGGACAGAGTGGCCATGGCTGTGGGGTGGCCATGGGATGGACGGGAGCGGCCACAGGGTCACTGGGTGAGGGTGGCCATGGGGTGGCTGGATTGGGGTGACTGTGGGCACAGAGTGGCTGTGGGAGGGATGAGGGTGGCCATGGGGTGCATGGGGTGGCCCTGGGGTGCTCCCGGCCCCGCTGACCCCGTGTCCCCCCGGCAGTGACTGACCTGGAGCTGAAGTTCCAGTACCGGGGCCGCCAGGTGTGCGCCCTGACCGTCAGCAACCCGCACGGCTGCCGGCTGTTCCACAGCAGCCTGGAGCCCACGCGGGAGCAGGAGGAGCTCTTCGGGCCGCTGACGCTGGAGCAGGTGCCCTTCCCTGCTCCTGACACCATTCCCAACGAGAAGCAGCGCTTCTACACCCACCAGCTGCTGGACGTGCTGGACCGAGGGCTCATCCTGGAGCTCCAGGGCCAGGACCTCTTCGCCCTCCGGCTCTGCCAGTGCAAGGTCTTCTGGACTGGGCCCTGTGCCACGCCCCAGCCCGGCCCCAACCCCATCCAGAGGGAGACAAGGACCAAGCTCTTCAGCCTCGAGGGCTTCCTCAACGGTCAGAGGGGAAGGGGAGGTGGCCCTGTGTCCCTTGAGAGCAATGGATTGGGATGGAGAGGCCAGCTGGGGTGGGGGCACACCAGGCACATGGTGGCATCAGGGGACAAATGTGCAATGGGGACACCGGCTGGAATGGTGGGGACACCAGGTGGCACATGGGAACAGAGCTGGGATGGGGGTCACCAGCTGGCTCTCGGGGTTGCCCTCAGTGGGGTGCTGGTGGTCCAGGCAGGCATGAGGTCCCATCCTGTTCCTCACCTCGGTGTTGGCCCTGCAGGCCTCATCCAGTTCCAGAAGGGGCAGACCCCCACCCCGCCTCCCTTCGAGATCTTCCTCTGCTTCGGCGAGGAGTGGCCGGACCAGAAGCCCAAGGAGAAGAAGCTGATCACGGTGCAGGTGAGGGGCCGGCCCGCGGCTGTCCCGGGTGATGCCCCGCGGGGTCCCGGCCCCGGTGACGCCCCGTGGCTCCCGCAGGTGGTGCCGGTGGCGGCGCGGCTGTTGCTGGAGATGTTCTCTGGGGAGCTGTCCTGGTCGGCCGACAGCATCCCGCTGCAGATCTCGCACCCCGACCTCAAGGACAGGATGGTGGAGCAGTTCAAGGAGCTGCACCAGCTCTGGCAGAGCCACCAGCGGCTGCCGCCGGCGCAGCCCCCGCCCGGCCCCTCCGCGGGGCCCTGGGCGCTGCCACCTGGGCCCTTGCCCCACTGACAGGGACACGGGCACAGCTGGCACTGCCAGCCGGGGTGAGTCCCTCCGTGGCCAGCTCGGCTGGTGGGGCCACCCAGCACCGTCCTCACCCCTGTCCCTACCCCAGTCTCCATGCCTGTCCCCCCAGAGCTGGCAGGGACCAGCACCAGGGTGCTCTGCAGGGGAAGGAGACTGTGACCCCCCGCCCTGGGGCAGCTCTGCGCCCCTCCCTGCACTGCCAAGGATAATCCCCCTGCGACTTTTGGGGGAAACAGCAAGAAAACAGGGCTGGGGCCACCTTGGACCTGGAGCTGCCAGGGATGGGGGGGCACAAAGCAGCCCCAGCCCTGGGAGGAGAACCAGAGGGACCTTAGGAGGTTTTAATTTATTTTTTCAGTTTTTTGTTGTTTTTTATTGTTCTCGAGATGGCTACACACCCCCGGAGGGAACCGCATGCGCCCGCCCGCCCTGCCCGCACTCGAGCCACCGCCTCCTACCCCAAAATCAAACCAAAGAAAACCCTGAAAAAGGGAAAAAAAAAAAAAGAAAAAACCAAACAAGAAAACAAACAAAAAAAGCAGAACAAAATAAAATATAAATCTCTATTTGCAGAGTCCGTCCCGCCTGTGTCGTCTCTGGGAGTCGGCACCAGGCAGGCCACGGTGGGCTCAGGGGGGCAGCGCCCCAGGACCCCCAGACTGACCCCCCCATCTTCCTAAACAATTTGTACTGTTTGTTTTTTGTTTGTTTCTTTTCCTTCTTTTTTGTCTCCATTTCACAGAAAGTTTTTCTACTTCTTTTGCTGCCGGGTGGAGCCGCATGGCTCGGTGTGGCTCCGGTGCCTGGTGGGTTGCAGTCGGGTCGGAGGTGCTGCCCCGGGGCTGCTGCTCGGGCGGTGGCCCAGCCCCGGGCAGGCGGGGCCGCCGGGACCCCCGAGCCCTCCTCCCTCCCGTGGCTCCGGACTCCGGGACGCGCTGGAGCGGGCGAGAGCCCTCGGCTGATTGTGGGACACATTCTTGGGTTGCTGTTTCCTGTCTTCTCCTTAAAGACATTCCTGGCAGGAGGGAGGGAGCTTCAGCCCTTTGTCCCTGATGTCCTGTGGGGCAGGGGACCCCGGAGCCAGGCCCTTACCTGGGAGACAGGTGCCACGTGGAGCCGGAGCTATCGGAACAGGCGGGTGAAGTCCCTCAGAGCCCAGCAGACTTGTTTACATTCCTCAGCACTGCAAGACAAGGCGGGACATCGGGGGTGACCCCAAGGGGACATGTGGGACCCAGGGAAGGTGTCCTGCCAAGGGATGGGAGCTGGGAGTGTGACAGCTCGGCTCCAAGGTGTTGGGAGAGATGAAGGGACAATCATCAGGGCAGAATGAGGTTGACAGCCTCCAGTACTGTCCCTAGAGGAGACCTGTGTGCCACCACAGTGGTGGCTGGGTGGAAGGAACCAGCTGCTCCTGGCACCCAGCCTCTGGGATTTGTCCAGGGACGAGATGGAGCGAGGCAGAGGGAGGTGATGTTCCCAAAGCAGCTGGTGGCCCTGGGAAGGGACAGGCCTGGGCAGGGCCTGGCAGCTGGAACCAGTGACTCACAGGGATGAGGAGGTGGCTCAGAAGGGCCCGTGGCTCTGCAGGGATTGGGCTGGGCAGAAAAACCCGTTGGGTGATGGCAAAGGCGCCATACGGCCCCGGGGCCCCGTGCAGGCAGGTGGCACATCCCAGCAGCATCAACAGCACAGGCAGGGCTGGGGCTGCTGGAGGCCAGCCCGAAGGAGGGAGCTGGAGACCCCGGAGGCACTCACCTGGTGACCTGCTTGTGGAAGTCGGTGAGCTGTTTGTGTGTCACCTGGATGGCTCCGCCCGTGGTTTCCTTTGGCAACCCCTTCAGCGAGTTCTCCAGCCAGCGGCAGAACGTCTGTGCCAGGGAAAGGGAGCAACTCGGAATGTGGAGCCCAACCTGGCTCCCGGGCCCTGCCTCGGCAGAGCTTGGGGTCCCAGCCCTGCCCCTGGGGCCCATCCTGTCCCCGTGGGGTTGCTCCCCTCACCGGGCGGTCGATCTGCATGATCTCCCAGAGCACCTCAGCGACGTCGGGCAGGGTGTAGGGCGGGAGGCAGAAGCAGCACGTCTGCAGGAGCTGGTTCACGAGCTGCTGCCCCAGCTGGGTCATCACCTGGTTGATGAGCTCCTTCCGCACCTCAAAGTCCTCCTCATGCTGTGGGAGGAAGGAAAAGGGGGTGGGCAAGGCCTGGGGACAGGGACACACTGGTCCTGGGGACAGGGATAAGCTCCTTGCTCTGCAGGCAACCCCCAGAGCTTCTCTGCCAGCAGTGGTGGAGAAAGCAGGGTGGCGGGTGGGGACAACAGCACAGGGCAGATGAGGATGGTGGGGCTGACGGGGTTTGGAGCAGCCTGGGACAGTGGGAGGTGTCCCTGCCATGGCAGGGCTGGCACTGGAGGGGCTTTGAGGTCCCTTCCCACCCAGCCCATTCCATGATTCCATGGTGACATCCCCGTGTGTCACTCACGTCGTTGGCCACCCCGGTGTGGATCAGATCCCGCAGGAATTTCATGACGCTGCAGTTGGCGTCCCGGTGGTCCAGGGTGGTGGCAGCGATGGCCCACTGCAGGATGGGGATCATCACCTGGCTGCGCAGGAGGGTGATGGGGCTGCGCTGGATGAACCTGCCCGGGGACACAGACGGACGTCAGGACAGGGCCTGCCTCTCCCCGCTCCACTGCTCCCCTGGGTGCTCCCAGGGGGACCCTCCATGAGGGGAGAGGGGCCGGGTGGCTGTGAAGGAGGTGGCACCTGGCTGCCAGGCGGAAGAGGTCATCCACGGTGTCTGGGTGGTTCTGGAGGCCGTTGGGTTGCTCGAGGAGCTGGAAGGTGGGGATGCAGAGAGCCTGGGGAGAACAGGGATCCATCAGCAACTACCTGGGATTACTCCTCAAGCTACCCTTCCCCGCATGGAACAGGCTAAGGCTGCCCCATCCCTGGAAGTGCCCAAGGACAGGCTGCAGGGGGCCTGGGACAACCTGGGACAGTGGAAGGTGGCCCTGCCCGTGGATGGGCTTCAAGGTTGCTTCTTACCCAAACCAGGTTGAGATTCTATATAGATGGGATATTAGGGAAAATTCCTCCTAGAAAGGCTGTCCAGCCCTGGCACAGCTGCCCAGGACAGGGGTGGAGTCCCCCACCCCTAGAAGGATTGAACAGCTGTGTGGATGTGGCACTTAGGGACAGGGTCAGTGGTGTCCTCAGCATGCTGGGGACGGTTGGACTCGATGGGCTCAGAGGGATTTTCCGCCCTGAGCGCCGCTGTGATTTGGGCAGGCAGACCCCACCTGCAGCATGTCAAGCAGGCCCTGCCGGCAGCCCTCCTCCATGCCGTACTCATCCACCAGGATGCTGCCCAGGTAGAGGAAACAGGAGTGCTGGTGTTCCCGGTACACATTCACCATCTGGGGAGACAGGAACGCTGCACAGGCACTGCCACATCTGCCCTGACCCCACATCCCTCTGGGCCCAGCCTGGCCCCTGTGGGCAGGGACACCCCAATGGACCTGCTCAGGTCCTGGGAGCATCTCTGTGCTGAGGCCACCTGAGCCAGCAGCGCTTCTTCATGGAAGCTTCCCCTTGGAGCCTGATGGGAGCCAAGTGGAGCAGGGAACACCCAGCTCTGGGATTCAGGGATCCTTCCCTCAGGCTGGGTTACCTCCCCAAGGAGCTGCACCATGCAGGGTTTCACACACTCCTCCCAAATCACACACACACGGGGATCCACAACCTCTCGGCACCCCCCACCTCTTCCAAAGCCTCTCTCCTCCCCAAGGGCTTATGCTGGAATTCCCAAGACTGCCAGGGCTCACTGCAGCGCTTCCCAGAGCCCACAGCCGCCCCTGCGACACTCGTGGCAGCCACAGTGACCCGAGCGAGCCCCCCGGCCCCCCAGCCCCACCTGTGTGACGAGGGGCTGCAGCAGCGCGGCCGAGCCCTTGCCCACGCAGCGCACGGCGAAGCGCAGGCAGCGGCAGCAGCGCTCCACGATCCGGTTGTCGGCGCTGTGCTTGTTCAGGGTCTCCGACAGCACTGGCCAGATCTGGGCACGGACACGTGGCAGGGGTCACACCCGACCCAGGACGCTGCCCGCTCCCTCCCGGTCCCCAGAGCGCCCAGACCCCAGTGAGGGATGGCAGATGGGGGAGAAAAGCTTTCTGCGGAGCCTGGGGTGGTTTATCCCCTCCAGTGCAGCGTGGCAAATGGGACACGGGCAGGGAAATCAAACACCTGGGGCATTCCCAGAGCCAGGGCCCCTTCCAGGGGCTTGAAGCCTGAGATTTCCCCCTCCACACCCCAATCCCAGCTTCCACGAGGGACAGGAGGGTGCCCCAGAGCTCCCCTCCCGTGCAGCCCTGGGCAGACACATGGATCCACTGGCAGTCAGGAACTGGGACTCTGTACAACACCTCAGGTACCCCCATAAACCTAAACACCCCGGAAACCCCCACCCCAAACCCCCCACCAGAACCCTCTCCCCACATCCCAGCCCTCTCCCACGCACCTCCTGAATGACTTTTTGGCACGGGTGGACCTGGCCGTTCTCAACAATGGGGTTGGTGTGTCTGTGGGAACAGCCAAGGGTTAAGGAGGGTTTGAGATTAAAGCCAAGGAAAAGGGTTGGAGCTGTGGGAAGTAGACCAGGAACTGGCTTGGGGAGCACCTCAGGAGCTGGAATGTGGGGAAGCAGAGACTTCCAGCCCATTCCCCAAGGGCTGGGGAGAAGGGAGCAGTGCAGAGTCAGGCTCTGGGGGAGCAGCAGTGCCCCAGCTCCTTCCTCACCTGAAGATGACGGCAAGTCGATCCAGGGGCACTGTAGGGTCTGAGGAGAGGCCATTGCTTGGCTCCTGGGAGAGCAGCTGGAAAACAAGGGAAAAGGATAGGAATTCAGGAGCACAGGTAGCCCTGGGAAAACACTGCCTGACACTGACCCCACCAGCAGCACCTCCTCAGGTGGGATTAGGGAAGGGCTCAGTCTTGGCCATGTCCTGTGTGGGTGCTGGGCCCTGCCCCCATGGAACAAGTGACAGGATGAGAGGGAATGCCCTCAAGCTGTGCCAGGGGAGGGTCAGGTTGGATACTGAGGAAATTATTCCTGGCCCTGGCACAGCTGCCCAGCGCAGGGGTGGAGTCCCCATCCCCAAAGGGATTTAGAAGCTCTGTGGATGTGGCACCTGGGGACATCAGTGGTGGCTTTGGCAATGCTGGGGAACAGTTGGACTCAAGGGGCTCCAGGGGCTTCTCCAACCCAAACAATTCTGTTACTCTAGGATACACCTCTGGCTCTGAGGACACAGCTGCTGTAGCAGGGCTGGGGCCTGGCCACTGTCCCCACTGTCCCCTCCATCCAGACACACCTTCTTGAGCGCCAGCACCTGCACGGCGCAGAGCTCACTCAGGCACTCCGAGATCTTCTCCAGGGGCAGCCGGGCCAGCACCAGCGCCGTGCC